GGTCTTGGATAGGATATGGCAAAAAAGGGCACATGTCAAAGTGTCCCTTAGTCGACTGTCCAAGGCATCGTGAGGTCGTAGAAGAAACTCAACCAAAAACCACTCTTCCACGTTCTGAGCCCCCCACTGCTACAGCCCACGGAATAATTATATGCACACATTGAAATCTTCAGTAAATCGCGATTAATGTCCGATAAAAAGTACACCAAGACTTCGGAGATTGTTTCCCATGAAGGGTAGCCTCCAAGTTTCAAATTGCTACATTACGTACATACGTTGAGCTTGAATTTGCCAACATATATATAGGAGAATGGTTGAATTGACCCAGCCTGAGGCATCGGAAATACTAAGTACTTCGAAGTATACACAGACGACGATGGAATTTAAGGCTCATCGAAGTTATATATTCGGCACATTTCTAGTAATATGATTGGATCAAAGTTCGAAATACGAAAAATGTTCTGACCAATCAGGACAATTCAAATATGATAATTTGCCCTTCCATAATTAAATTTGAAGAGGTCACCAAGTATACATTGACGACATCGTATTTTAACGATAACTCAATCAATACTGCTCCGTTTTCGCTCAAATCGGTGCCAAAATCACCGCCTTGACGAGACCTATCGTTTGCACCTATTTTGAGCGCAGAATGGTGGGAAGACAAGATAATCGCAAAAAGCGATCGAGAAACCCAAGACGACCACTCGTTAGACTACAACTTAGAAATGGCTTTCAAATAGCTACTACGCACTTCATCCTCCGTGATAAGCTCGAAAGCTCTTATGCAAAGCTGTCGGCCGGCGAAAAACACTCATACAGAATGACTGCGGTCTTGGCCATTCGACGTGATGGAAAGAAGATGCCAATCATGTTCGTCATCAAGGGTCAACCCGATGGCTTGATCAAACGACGTGAGTTTCCAACGTATCCACAAGACCACTTCTACGCAATGCAATCAAAGGCGTGGATGGACAGCTCTGTGTGGCAACAGTCATTGTAAGGCCCTGACATGAGCCTTCGGGGACATCCAGGCTTCGTCGTCGACGTCATCGTCATGCATCATGTCTTCTGCGACCCACAAGTTCCGCATGTGCTTCTTGAACGGTGCCATAATAGACACGTCCAGTGGTTGACAATGTGAGGTAGCATTTGGAGGCAACGCGCACACATTCATGCCGATGCTTTCCGCTGACGCAATACTCTCCTTGCTGACGTGGCATTCGAAGTTGTCCAGCACGAGGACTGATTGGCCTTGACTTCTTCAGCGAGCGCAAACCAGAGGTACTGTTGCCACACAGAGCTGTCCATCCACGCCTTTGATTGCATTGCGTAGAAGTGGTCTTGTGGATACGTTGGAAACTCGCGTCGTTTGATCAAGCCATCAGGTTGACCCTTGATGACGAACATGATAGGCATCTTCTTTCCATCACGTCGAATGGCCAAGATCGCAGTCATTCTGTACGAGTGTTTTTCGCCGGCCGACAGCTTTGCGTTGCCTCCACGGCGAGACCAGATGTAGCGGGGTGACATGTCGTACTGGATTCCTGTTTTGTCCACATTGTAGACGCAATTGTCAGGGTACGTACCATAGTCTCTATGAAAGCGTGTTGCGAACTCATCACGGGTACTTTCGAGGTCGCTGATAACCTTCTTGCACCTGCGGGCTTGTTGATGAGTGTATCCGTTTCGGCGACAGAATTCTTGAAGTAGCTTCAAGAGGTGGTCGTATCCGAGTCCTTGCTTTTGGCTGGTAGTGTACTGTGCCACCCACTGCTGGTGGTGTTTCTTGAGGAAATTGACCATGTGCGTGCAGGTCAAAGCTCGCTCTTGAGTCCGACGGGCGTCATGAATGACAAGAGCTTTTCAGGTTCGGGCAGTATGGTGTGCCGTCCAGCGCCTTGCAAGTTGCACGCCGTTTTTTGCCTTTATAGGCCAGAAGCTTGGCAGACAACCTCTGCCAGTTTCGGATAGTTCGGCATGGAACAGAGAGTTCTTTGGCCACCTGACGGTACGACATTGTACGTAGCAACGCAATACCTCTCAGCTTTTGTGCTACAGTGTACGTGTGCCTGTGCTGCCCTTTGGTCGCTTCCTTTGTACATGGGGGTGGCTCCACGCGCTCCATGACCATCACGGCTCCAAGTTTTGAGTTGTTTGCTGACTGCACGAAGGTTGTCCCGCGCGCTTTTTTTGTTTGGCGCGTGAATAATAATTCCACCAATAGAATTCATGTATTTCTTCCTATTCAATTGATTGGCTAAATATTGTTGTGTACTGCCCAAAACTTCGATGAGCCTTAAATTCCATCGTCGTCTGTATATGCGCACTGCGTTTTAAATATTCTAAATATTGTCCTTTTTGTCAAAAACTGGACCTGACTGGTGATTTGCGAAATCAATCGATCAATCCATGTATATTGGCTACAATATAGTATACAGCAATCAAATTGAATTCCCAAATGACGACCATCGACATTGCCGAATGATCGTCGATGTCGTTCACCGGCAGCATGCATCAAGAAACACCGTGATGCATGCATTGTACGCATATATTACCTTGGCATGAAGCGGTCGGACGTGGCGCGCATTTTCCACAAGTCTATGTCGCTCTAAACTGGACATGCGGCAAGCAGTGGAGGAAGCTGGTCTCCTTCAGAGCAGCCCAGTTGGGTCCTTCGAATACGTGCTGGGGAAGCCGCTTCCCGCTGCTGTCTCGTGCGAAGACCGTGTCCTTCACATGAATGTCTGCTCTCATACGGAGCAATGGGTTATGTATCGAAGCTCCTTCAGAGAAAGGTGCAGCTGGTGCCGACTCGCTCTCGTGGAGATGTTGGTGAGGTGGTGGTGGTGTCCGCATTTGGCTCGGTGGCGACTAGTGACAACGTCAAATTTAATTGGACGATATTGCTGTTCTATCTTCTCGATGATTGGACGGAGTTGTCTGCCGATTCATCTGTCGATTTCCTTCTGTCGATTGATTCGGCACGTAGGTCCAGTTTTGAATCGACACGACAATACGAAGGCACTTGACACCCACTGCACGTGCAAAAATGG